CTCTTTCCAGGAAATTTGCAAAAAGAAAAAAGAATATTGTACCACCCCTTCTATCTTCATACATCATCTTTCACTCTCAGATAAATATCAGATAAATTGTGTATAAATTGGAGATATTCTTTTTTTGCTAATACAGGATGAGCAACTGTAACTCCAAACTGTTGGTTCCTGAGCCAACACTCATGGCCCTCAGGCTTCAGCTGTCCCTGTTTATTAGGAATTTTGTTACCCAAGGACTGCAAGGATGAATTGCCTAGAGATTAGGGCCTTCCTGGTGTTTACATACAAATATGTATTTTAAAACAGATGTATAACCACACTTCTTTCCTAATTGCGTTATTAATTATTTATCCAAGAGTGCAATCAATAAACTGCCAGTATCAATTTTGCTCTTTTCTTGTAGCTTGAGAGGAGTGGATTCTGAATTCTGTCACACTCAGGCCAGCCCTGTTTACACAGCACAGAGGGTGGGAAGGGGACATGCTCTTCCTTAGTTTCAGGGAGCTGTGTGTTGTCTCCACAGACTGTAAAACCCACTGTCAAGTCCTGAGCCTCTTCCTTCTGAGAGTGTGTTGAAATTATTAACCTAAAGGGGAAACAGCCAACCAGGAAATGAGCCAACTCTTTGCCTACTTAATGACCTAGAATTGTTGCATTTAACAAAATTAGGGGAGGGAAGGTGATAGGTGTCTTATTTTTTCTTTCAAGAATTTGCCAAAAAAGCTTCCTAACCTAATGGTCCCAGGAAAAAGAAGCTGAAGGATCTCTGAGTGGACCAGCCAGACTGCAGACAGATTTGAGTTTGAAAAGGATACAATTTCTAATGAGCATGGCTTTTTCATGTGCTTCTTCACATTGTCCTGAACTATTCTTTTTGTTCTTCTGGCAGACAGACAAGTTTAGAAGTTAACAAGCTAAATCTTGTAGATGTTTTTAAGAACTGCAGAAAAGGCTACTTGAATCTTCACAGTTCAGAACTGTGTCTTTATGTTTTGGAGTTCCTTGTTCTGTGCAAAGAAGTATCTGTCCAAAGATTACACCCAAGATCCCTAAATTTGATGCATTTGCTTTTCAGGAGAAGGAATAGGAACAAATGTGAGCTAGGAACACACATGTGTTCCTGTGTGAAGGAACAAATAAGTGCTGATAGTAAAACAGTTCAAGAAGGAAGGAAAAGAGTTTTCGGGATCTACCCAGGTTCATGGGTACAGGCAGTAATGCCTTTGGAAGCAGTGAGCACAAGAAAGCTCCTACAGGTGGCACATAGAGTCTGCAGAGGATTAGTCTCTAGTGACTTTATGCACCTGTAAAATTGCCACAGGATTTAGAACAGCAAAGAAGAGTCACCATTTCAACCTTCCATGAACATAAAGGCTTGAAAATTAGCCTAAGACAGTGATTACATATGTATTCTGTCATAACTTTTTGTTATTATTTTGCAGCTCTCAAGATTGCAGTTGTAGATATCTACCACTCCAGGTTAAAGGAAAGACAAAGAAGAAAAAAGTGAGTTTTCAAGCCTTAACTGTGTTCCTTTCCTTCATTACTGTGGTTTGGTCCCAGCATTGTCCTAATACTAAACAAAATTGATTTCCTATAGCATCCTTCTGGGCAATTCCCCTGCATGGAGACCTTCTGCTATGAGATTTGCATGAGAGGCTTCATCTTGGATGTGTGGCTCTCCTTCTGTGCACAGATTAGGACCAGGCAGATGGTTTTAGCAACAGTACCAGCCCAGAAAACACAGATTAACAGACCTTGGTACTTATTTGTATACATGGCTGACAAAGAGCCCCTACACACCATAACTCTCCCTTAAAATCTCAAGTCATTAATTGTGAAAAACCTGGTTTCCAGTCCTTTTTACTGCCTGAAAGTCATTTATGCAGTGCTGTTCATATGGCCAGCCCAAATCCAGTTACATAAAACTAACTAATCTCCCAGCACAACTCACGAGGTCACAAAGCCATTTTGCAGAGTTAGAAACTGAAAGAATATTTGGGAAACTGGTCACAGATCCAGGGCTAGGAACCAGAAAAGAGAGGCAAATCTCTGCTCTTCTTGTTCCCTGTGTAGTGCTGATGGGCTGCACATTATTAATGTTCTACTTTAGGGGGAAAAAAAAAAAAGCTGCCAGTCTGTGACTAATTGCTGAGCTCCCATTTTGTCCATTGAAATGTTTGCATCATTATTTTTAATTCTTAGTGGTCCATAAGTTAGTTTTTCCACAATTTGTAATGAAGATAACTGTACTGCTGACATGAGTGTGAATAATTTATTCAGTTCATTTGACAGCTTTTTAGAATGACTCCATCTATTAATTACATTCAAATTTATTATAACTTTCAAATACTTTGTTCAATATTTAAAATTACATCTTGCTGTATTACTCCCTGCTGGAAGAATTAGTAATTTGGGGTAAGACTCCTCCATCCCTTCTCATAACACAGCACAGTTCTGCTGGTAGGGAAGAGTTGATGTGTATCGACCTGGTTCTTTTTAATTCATAAATAAAAAATATGGATGTGGTATAATTTCCATTATGACAAATCATGTCATACTAAAAGAAAGTGCCACAAGGCTCAGTTACTCAAATCAGTGTCAGTTTTTGTCAAGTTTCTACAGCAGGATGGGACAAAAATCTGGAAAATGACATAAAAGTGTGGATGTCACTGCTGAACACGGGGCAGGAATATTCTTTTAAAGAAAATTAATTATTTGATAGAGCAAATTCCAGCCTGACCTTGACAAGCCTAACATTGTAGTATCTCTTTATCATTTGCAAAGTCATGTGTTTGTCAGATCACTACATAGCAACAACCACATGACATTTGCTGAAATCAGTGACAGTTCTTTTTGTCATGCACTTGTAAATATCTTACCTGCCTTTTTACACTGCTCATTTCCCTGATCCTGTCAGGAGCATTTCAAACTTGTGACTTGCCTAAATTATCTTCCACTTCCTAAAATCTAAGCTGTCATGAGAAAATTCCTTCATCCTGCTCCCAGTGGTGAAATGGACAGTCCATCTCTCTAGCTCTAGCAGGAGATTTGTCCCTCCTGAAGCTGGAAATCACGCTTCATGAGACATTCCTTTACCTCTGATGTTGGAAGGACAAGTTGTAAGGTGCAGTAGATGCAAAATCTGTGCCTAAAGCATCTATTTCAAACCTTGGGAGTGATTGTAGCTCCCTTAGTGCTGTCAGAGCTGGACTAATGCACACCACTAGCCAAATGGCCTCTGATTAAAGCCATGCTGCATCACTACTTCATGTTTCTCAGCTCCCCAGCTCAAAGGTTATGGAAATTACATACGTGTTCACTTCTAGACCCCTCTGATGGTATAAATCAAAGTTGCTTCTGAAGCCTTTGTATTTATGAGGTAACGCATCAGTCAAAGCCTTTTATTAATACCATTTTGCTCTCGATTACAGAATTATAAGAGATCATGGCCTAATCAACCTCAGAAAATTTCAGAGTGAGTATCCAGTGTAACTGCTTAACTTCAAAGCGGCCTCTACCCGGGAAGCAGAATTTCACATATTCACAGTTTCCAGTGCTCCAGTGTGGTTTATTCATACTGGAACACATTCAGGTGGCCTGAATTCCAGCTGATTTCCTGCCCAGACTGTTTCCAGCCGGCTGGCTCTAGCTACTCCAAGCTCAGTGTTTCAGTTAGTGCCTCAGAATTGCTCTTCAGAAGCATTTTGGGCTCCAAGTAGAGAGAGGGAAGAAGGTGAAGTCTGGGCCTTAAAAGTACATCTCACTATTCCAAGAAATGATCAAGCAACATTTAAATATCATCCTTTATCCTTAAGGGCTGCTTAATTTTGTTGCTTTTCACTGATCAGTTTGTAGTTGTGACACCAAAATGGCCAAGATGTGTGCCAAATCTGGATCTCTGGGTAGTCCAGGGAGGCTGGTAGTCACTTCAGGTTCCACTGAGTTTATTCTCACAGTAGGAGTGATAAGGTGTATCATTTTCCCCTCTCTAGTTTTGGAGAGGCGATACCCAAAGGAGGTTCAGGACCTGTATGAAGCCATGAGACGATTTGCACGGATCCTTGGACCAGTAGAGCACGATAAGTTCATTGAAAGCCACGCATGTGAGTATTGTGAGGCTTTTAGAACTGATGTTCTTCAGCAGGCTCAATGAGGGGCTGCATCATCTACAACCTTTCCTAAATACATGCCACCTGTGGAGGGCAAGAGAAGGTTTTTCTCCTCCTTCCTCATCTAACTAGCTCAGAAAAACATACATGTGTCACTTGATACATTAAATGAGAAGCAAGTGGTTTTTTTTCTACAAAACCATGTCTGAGTTTTTTTTTCCCAGTTCACTGATCATTTTGGTCATATGTTAGAAGTAGTATTTTCTTATCAAAAGACCACTATTCATTTACTGGGATTCTATATCACTGGAAGAAAAGAGTCTCTAAAAATTAGGTCTATATTGAGAATGGGGAGCTCACAGCAAGTTGTGAATTCTTTGAAAGATACATGTTTAGCTATTTATGTGTACATAATTATATAGTGCAGCTGTCATTATGTCCCTTACCTTAAAGGGAGAGGCATTGTTCCATCACCAAATCATCTGAGTCTTTATGCATAATCATAGCATGCATTTAGTCAAATTCCAGTACGAGTCATTACATCCTGCTTAATTCTCTGACTTAAACTGGGAAAATTGTTGCTCATTAGAAGGAACAAAGCACTTTAAACAGTTGCGACTGTATTTTCAAGACACCTAGTGTGAAATACCAAGAGCATGACCCTGCAAAATCCTGAGACCCATATGTCAAGTGCTAGTCCTAGAACCTGATTTCGTTGTTGTAGTGACAGGGAAGTCCTCAAGTTAACCTGCTAGTTAAGTACGCGCATTATACAGATCTCCTGAGTAGGATGAGTAAACAAATTCAAGACAAGCAAACTTGCTCACTGTAAAACTAAGCTATGCCTGGAAGCCAGCTGATAAAAGGCAGTAAATATCTCTAAGGAAAAGAAACATGGGTAGTTCATCTTACTGCAGAAAAACAGTTGTCTGTAAGGAAAAGATTGGGAAGGTCCAGTTATGAAAATCATAGTTCAGAGTCAATATTAGATGCTGCAAGCAGCCTGGGTGGAATAATTTGTCAAACCTATTACAGTGCCTTCCAGAAATCCTACATTATTGTTATTTGCCTTGTCCAGGGTATGGAAAAGGAACTGTTAGAGCATAAAGATAAAACAACTTCCCTGAGCACACAAGTGCTAGAAACTCACTTAAATCTGTGTTCAAGGAGTCTTGGGACAGAGTGAGTTTGAGGTCAGATACAGACTGTGCAGAGAGGTTAGCCCTGCCTGTGGTTCTCTGTACTTCACAGACAGGAATCACCAGCTTCTGTAGTAAGTACCTGATGCATTATTCAGCCCATTCCCATTCATCAAAGTGTAGAAAGATGATTTTACAACATTAAGGATGTGTTGAATAAAAAGACATTTATTTTTGAACTGCGTTTGCCTAGCTCTTTAACTGAACAAGGCTTTAGCAATAATGCTCCACTCCAGCTGTGCTCTTTTAAAGCTGGCTTGAGCCATCAGCTTGAAGAACATGCTGTCTCACAGGGCTCTGCTTTAGTCACCACTGTGTAAAAGATCCAGGAAAAAAAAAAAAGAAAAAAAATAGGTGTCATGACACTGAGGTCTCCAGTGCTTTATCTCTGGACACTTCTTCTGGATATCAACAAGTGTGAGATATGCAGAGAGGCCTGAGACCTCTACACAAATGAAGTAGCCTTTTTTATCCCAAAATTGGATCATGGAAGCCTTTTTTTGTTTGATTTTTGGCCTGAAATTAATGGGGGGAAGGGTGCAGGGTGGAATGTAAAACCTCCCCATGCCAAGTCGTTGTCATGAGGGAGAAAATCGGAGTCCGGCCCAGAGCTAGAGAAGAGTTTCTCACTTATTTCCTTAAGTGGAAAACCAACAGTCTGGAAACATTGACCAAGGCAGCTGGTGAGAAGGTGGTCTGTGTGGTCTGTTCCCATAGGTGCCAGGACATATGATCACCTGAAGAAGAGCCGGGAGGAGGAGCGGCTGAAGCGCACCATGCTGGCCGAGGTGCTGCAGTACATCCAGGACAGCAGTGCCTGCCAGCAGTGGCTCAGCAGACAAGCTGACATGTATGGTCACAGTAAGACTCTGCTTTTTTACACACCTCTGCTGTAGCCAGGTGCATCGTTTTTCTGTCTGCTAACAACAAATGCCTTCCCTGTTTATTACAGCAGGAACAGCCTGCAAAATCCAGCAGGGCAAGAAACTGGAGCACAGCAACAGTGCTTGTGCAGACAAGAAAGTGGCTAGTAAGGGCTCAGAACCTCAGTTTTCTGTATGCTGTATTTCAGGAGCTTAACTGCTGTTAATAAAGTCATGGAGAGAAATGAAGTCTTTATGGATATTAATGAGGGCACAGATGACACTTGATATGTTTCAGGTTGTTTTAGATGTAGCAGCATTATTAATGTGTCATCACCCTGCACAAGCACTTTGATTTAAGGAGCAAGCTGCAGTGCAAAGGAAGTGCATCCTGTGTGCCACGTGGTCTGAAAAGATGATGTAGAATTTCCCTCATCAGTCTACACTGAATTTTTTTATTTTGTCTTCCCTTTTTTTTTTTAATAAACAGGTTTCAGACATGGTCTTTAATCTGGGAGTGCTAAATATTTCTAAATCCTGTTGACTTCAGATCAGGGCTTGGCTTACACAAGTTGAATTGTATAATTATTAGAAGCTGGGGAAAAAGTAGTTTCAGTGCCAATAAATACAGTTATTCTTAAAAGAAAAAAAAACCACAAAACACCATTAAAGCAAGTTGAATATTTCCTTTCTTTTCAGTGATTCCGGCCTGACTCCCACGGTACCAGTTCCTTCAAATTCAGGTAACTGCTAGATGATGGTCTATGATAAAAAGCCAACCATACATCAGTAATACTGTTTCTGACAGCCAGCTGGAGAGTGACTCTTGCTTAAGTGCAAAAGTGTCAGTCCTCAGGTTTCATGGTTAAGCACTGCTCAAGTCATTACCTCAATTGGCAATTCATCCCATGTGCAAATCCTGTAGGGCTTTTTGCTGAATGTCTAGATTTTTCTGACTACAGGTGGAAAACCCATCCTAAAGCTACACTAACAAGGCAGGAAAGTAAAGAATTTTCACATGAGGAGAAATTTTTATCTTTACAAGGTAAAACTAATCCAGGTGTTCTAATCAAGTACATACCACTGCAGTATGAAACTAGCAGAGCAATTTGGGAAGGCAGAACACCAAGAAGCAGTTGCCTCAGAAGCAGGCAGTGGTTGCAGCACCAAGCACTGAAACAAAACAGGTTGCCTGTCCTTTATATGAATATACCTTTATATTCTTTAATTCTGTAATCACCAATTATGTGGTTTTCCACCAAGAGGACCCCTACTTCTTTCAGCGTCCAGTAAGCGTTTTGGAGAGACAACAGGATTGTGGATCTTATGCTGGGCACCCAGAGTCCATGAAATGGGTGCAGCCTCCCTCCCCTCAGCTGAAGGGCTTAATGTTTTTGTCAAGTATTCAGTGGCCAGTGAAGGGGAAGAGCCCAAGACAACACAAATTGCTTTGCCTACAGAACTCAGATAGCCTGCAATGTTTACAGCCATTATCATATCCTGAACAAAACCCAAACAAAATACCATATAGTTGGTAATTAAACAAACATCCTGCAGACTGAATAAGGCAAGGATGCTGCGGAAAAAACTGCCACGTGGCTATATAATTAAAGCCTGCATCATACTGAATATACAAGAGGGCAAATTAGCATTGCTTAACTTTACTTCTAGAGTTTGAGATCTTGATTTTGCAGCCTTAATATGTTTTCTTTACCGTAGGTTTGTGTGTATATTATTTCCTAGGTTTATAAAAGTAAAACCATACTCTGTCATGTTTCATCACAGCCCACTCATTCCAGGCTGTAGAAAGAGGGAGCAGTGCTGGGAAATAACTTCATCTACACCAACCAGAGACTCACAACTCCAGCTTATTTCTAGCCCTTCTGTTCTTTCCCTGGCCAGGCTCCCCTCACCCAGCCAGGTGTTCATTTGTTTGCTACAGATGGACAGGAGAAGGCGACTGACCAGTCCCAGACGTAGGACCCGGACAGGGCAGGGTCTGGGGCAGTGGCCAGCACAGTCCTTGGGAAAATAGAGCTGCAGATTTTCCAAGATCTAATAATCACTTTGCCAGATTTGGGAAGTTTGTCCTGGGACAAAAAAACCTATCTGACAGTGCCAAATATGCAACCCACAGCACAGGGGCAACAGACTTTCTACAAATGTAAATAAATAACCCTAGCTTTGTTCTGAGGTCTGGAAGTTTTAAAAAAATACTATTAGGAAAAAAAAACCCAAAACCAAAAACAGCAACACTGCAAGCAGACAGCCCTTGTGAAGGTTTAAATTGCACCACTTAAAGCTGAGCAAAGTTAAAAACAGTAGCACAAGTGAGAACTGCCAGACTAGTTGCGATGTTTCTTTCAGTACTGTTTATCAGGACAAAAATAAATCCACAAGCTGCATTTGCTTTACAGTGTCTGCATCATTTCTAAAGGCATTTAAAGAAAACTCTATTTGGGAAATGACCAGTAATTCCAGAGAACTGGCTGAATCACACCAATAAATAATTTCAGCCTCCTGGCAAGGGGCTGGCTTCCCAGCTGCTGGGGTTCAGTTGCGCAGCTGTGCACCCTTGGGTGCAGCCACCAGGCACACTGCCCTCCCTGCCCTGGCTGGAGGAGCCACCTCAGTCAGGAGGCAAAGCCCAGCTTAGCCGGGGGCAGTGCTAAGATGACAGGCTGTTGTCTTTCAGTGCCTCCCAGAAGCCAGTGAGCCAGGGGTCACAGCACAAAAGTCCTCATGCAGGTGCTCACAGCACCGAACCACGGCAGTTGCAAAACCATCAGCACCGTTTTTGTGTTAAGCCTTAAATAACCCTGTCTATAAACACTGAGATCATACTGGGTTAATGTCACAGGATATAATTGCCTCTGTGATAACACACCTAAGGAACAGCCACCGCCAAACTGCTCCCAGTATTTGTCAGTGTTTTCCTTCCTTGTCTCTGCAGGCAGACGCAGTGCCCCTCCGCTGAACCTCACGGGTCTCCCAGGGACAGAGAAACTCAACGAGAAGGAGAAGGAGGTAAGGAAAGGAAGGGAGAGATAATCTGCATAAAACTAAATTTTCACAGTGCAGGGGTGGTCACACCATCTGCCTTAGGTGCTGTGAAAATCACCTCAGCTGTATGCCCTGACTACACTTTCCTGCTCCCAAAAATCATTCAGGTTTTCCAGTTGGCTTCTTGATTTCAGTTACTGTACATCCAACACGGCTGCAGCAGGTTTGCTTATTTAACAAGGAAAGGTGGAGTGAGCCAAGGTGTTCTTACATCCCATCATAACCTCCAGAGTATGATATCCTTTCTTCCTCCCTTGTGAGGCTGGGGTGAGCAGAAGGGTTATTTTTTTCTTAATGAATTTTTTTTAATTGGCAGAGGATTTTAAGGGCTTCCCTGGGCAGATCACTGTGGCTCTTTTCGTATTGCAGATACCTCACAGCCAAACCTCAACCAGTTCTGGTTGGTTTTTCACTTGTAACACTACTGTGAACCATGGAGACAGTAACAGGATGTTCTTTCATGGGTTTTTTTTTCCATATTTCTGCTTCTCAATGCATATGCCAAGCTTTTTGTGTGCATCTGTGGCAGAAAATGGAAGCTGGGTTTCCTTAAGCCATGGTTTTGGCTTGGCCTGGTGCTGTGGTTTGCAGTCCCATGTAGAGCTCTTGCACAGTCACCTAAAATGATCAGAGATGCAGGGAGGATCAACAGAGCAGCCAGAAGTGGGACTGCGACCCCCAGGACAGGCAAACAACACAGCAAGGGGCCTGCCCTCTAATTATGGCTCAGGGTTTTTCAGTCCAGTGTAGGCCTGTCCCCTAATTCAGTGAAAGGCAACAATGGAAAGCTATCAAAGTAAAAGACTGGTACTTTTTAAAATATAAGTCACAATCAGTCCTTAGCTTGCCCACAAGGCAGATTTCAGGGTATGCAAAGCACAGATGTATTTCAGCCTTCTCCCTCTGCATGGGAGCTTTTCCCCTTCACTGGAGTTGGCAGCATTGAAAATCAGATCACAGCTTCACCATGGAACATGGCATTTCTGGCTCCATTCAGCATATAAATAATTGTGCCTAGGCCATTAGTGGATATGGGGAATCTGATTTCCTCGTCAGCTGAGACGTAAAGTCTGAGTTCCTCTGAATTCTGCAATTTCCTATCAATGAGGAACAATCATTAAGCATTTCCTTATTAAAAGGAGGAGACAGCCAGTATCTCTATGGAGAGCAATACAGCAAACCATGGAGAAGGCAGCCACTGTTTGGAAGCTAAATGGGAGCATTGCAACCTCACAGCAGAGCACAGGCGCTCTCAGAAGTGATTCCTTTTACCAAACTTCCCAACACATCATGCCCTCCCTATGTGGTTTCCACCCTAGACTTCCAGAGGGGGCAGACGTCGTGTGCATGGCTGCTTTTGTAGAAAGGTATTAAAGACTTAGTCTGCAGGGGATTAATAGACAGATGCCCTCCCTGGCTCTGGCCCAGCATGCTGAATTGCTGGTTGCAAGTCTCTTTGGCATGTGTACTTCCCTTGGTTTGTAAAGAACAACGCCCACACAGGACACACTCATAGTTACACTCCTGTGAGCCCAGAGCTTGCTTTCATCCTCCTAGTTTATTTTTTAGTAAGGAATGTTGTTGTATGCAGCAGCCAGCAAGCTCCTCCCCTCCCTACCTGTGGATCGAAACAGCTCATAATGCAATTACTGTTGTGCTTCCCCCCTGCAAACAAAACACATTTTAAATGTTTTCAGAAAAATATTCACAACGTTACTCCCCCAACAGGGACTGCAGAAAGAGTGAGCATTACAAGTGTTGGTGTTTATTAACTTCACCTTTTGTCTTCCAGCTCTGTCAGATGGTGAGGTTGGTCCCTGGAGCCTATTTAGAATATAAAGCTGCTTTAGTGAACGAGTGTAACAAACAAGGAGGCCTGAGACTTGCTCAGGCTAGAGCACTCATCAAGATCGATGTGAACAAAACCAGGAAAATCTATGACTTCCTTATCAGAGAAGGGTACATCACAAAAGCCTGAGGACAGACATCAGCACTTTGGCTGGAGCAGACAGATGTGGAGAAGCTTTGAAGTCACTTTGACAGCGCTGAAAGATTTTAACAGTGTTGAATGAAGGACATTTCCTTTTGTTTAAAATCTTTTGGAGCTTTTTTTTTTGTAAAAACAAGTAGGAAGCTTTGTTAAATTGTATGAGTACTGACATTTCTTTGTCTAGTTTCCTTTTGACTTTCCTGTTGTCAGAATTACACTGCACATAGAGCTGGAAAGAATCATTTGCCAAATAAGCTCATCTTAAATGTGAATGGGCCTTCATCTCTTAACACCTCTTGTAACTAGAAAGAGAATCACGGTACTTTTATTCTGACAGTGACACAGAATAAGGACAGAAGAGGAGAACATAATGAGGGTCACACTTTGTAGGGTATAAGAACACAGTCCCCTCCCTTCTTGTACTCCTGAAACAGTGTCAGCTTTCAAAGGAGATGGCACATGCCCAAGGGTATGAAAATAGAGCTTGCAGTGGTCCAGTCCTTTTAGCTGAATTGTGATAAAAGATGGGAAAGGACATTGCAGGAAGGCTCCTCAACAGTTGTTACTTTCCTGTGATATTAGCACATATCACAGCATGAGAGCACTGTGCAAACCAGTCAGCTTCATCTCCTCCTTACTTGGATTTGTGATTGTCAAGTTATATGTAATCCCTCCGTGTAAGTCTTGGTTGCTCCGCTGTGTTGGAAAGGCTGGATGTTGCAGCTAGAGCAGGCTTTTCAAAACATCAATAAGATGATGCTCAGTACCACGATGTTTTCTCACAAAAGATAACAAGCAGAGAGCACAACAGACTGCCCAGAGCATCCAGCCCCACCCTTCCTGCCCTCCTGTTCCTGGGGCTTCGTTCTCTCAGTTCACCCTACTGGTATGAACAGACCCAGTTGACCAACACAGCAATGATGAGGTGCAACAAGTTACTACACACACCCCCCACCCTGTCACATCAGAAAACCCATTGTATGACTTCCATACAAAACATGTATTTTAAAACACAATTAGATTATGAAGATGGTCTTTCAGGCAGTTTGGCATGGTTGACTAGGCAATAAAGTCTTTATCAAACAGCTTCCATTGCTGACACAGAACACTGAAATAACATCCCATAAGTAACCTAAAGCAGGTGACATGTTCGGTGCTCTCAAGTTTGGATTCTCATGTGGAAAAGCTTGACTGAGCTACAACTACACTGATGCCTATTTAAGTTGTTTAGATTTGGTGGCATTTTCCCCCAAAGAGTAATTATCCTGTGTACCTGAGGTGCCATTGAATATGAAGCGTTTTGGTTTGTAATAAAATAAAAATTACTTGAAACAATCTTAAATCCATCCTCCTGGACTTTGAATGAGACTGTAAAGGTCAGCCAGCTGCCTGGATCTATATCCATCAACATCTCACCATGAGAGAGAAGAGGTAAATGCACAACAGAGGCTGTATAGATGTCAACACTAAATTACTTTAAAATATTACTATTTAAAGAAAAGCAGCAGTAATAAAATACATGTTGAAGATTGAAGTCTGTAGAAACTGAGACTGTAGACTGGGACTGCCAAAGGAATGGACAAAGTAAGATGTAAATACTTGGGAATGTTTTTCCCAGTTGTCTTTTAACATTAAACAGTCAAGCTACCTTTGCCCAGTCTCCTATGCTGTGACTTGTACAAAAAAGCAGGAGGTGAGGCAGATCCACAGGTACCACTGTGGCCATCCTGATACAGCAAACAAAGGGGGTATCAGCAAACTTCAGTGACATTCCTTCACCCCAAAGGGATACAAACAGAACCATGAACAGGACCTGCTTTGACCAAACAGAACTACCCAAACTCCAGCTGCTGCCAAGCCATGTGCTTTGGGCAGTGCTCAGTAATTTGGCCATCTGGAAACTATCAGGGAGGAAAGATACCTGGGAAGGCAAGAGCTGCAATCCTGTAGCTGGTCAAGAGAGGAGTCAGAAAGGAGACTTCTGAGTAAGCAGGAGAACATGAGACAGCAGGGAAGCAGGGCCAGGACATTTCCCTGGTGTAGCACTGAAGTGCACAAACAAGTTTTTCCCCATCACAGGGCATCCCCCAAGCAGGGATGTAACCAGCTCCCAGCACACCTCTGCTGGGGTCACCTCCTGTCACCTTTAATTGCCAGGCTCTCACACAGCACAGTGTTGTGCTGCAGAAAGGAGGCTAGAAAAGTCCCATCAGGAAAAGGCTGTTGGATTACAATGCTCTATCTGTGCCATTTTCAGGCTTGGGAATGAGGTGGAAACCTGGGGCTGGGGGAGGCACAAGGGAGGCTGCACCATGGCCATGCACACCCCACCAAGGCATGACCATCCTGCAGCTTCTCACACCCACAGTCTGAGCACAGGTGAGCAATCAGTCACCAGAGACACACCAATGGCATGATTTTGGGTGCAAATTTTACCTGCTTGCAACACCACTGGGGCCAGGTGGGCTGAGGGGGGAGGTAGGCTGGGGACCTATTCACCCGAGAACTTTCAAACCATCTCCAATAATATAAAACCCAGTGAACAGACACACAAAATCCATCAAACTGTACCAGCTGAGGCCCAGCTCATCCTCGCAGACGCGAGCTCAGCTGCACGGGTTTTACACAGGGCAGGCATTTGGGAGGAGGCTCCTCCAGGGCTCAGGAGCTTGAGCCAGTGCCAACAGACCCCAGCCCCTTCAGTGACAATGGCCGCTGGCACTTCCTCCTCTCCACACTCTCTCGGGCACCATGAAACAGAAAGAAAAGCACAGGACAGCCCCTCTCCCCATTGCGTTTATCCCAGCCAGGTCTGTGCTGCTCTGGGCCCTCTGAACCATTTCCCAACACTCAAAAGATGTTCTTTGGGAGAAAAGCTGCCCAGCAGCTCCTGGTTGCCTCCCTGCCATGACGGTCCCTCCTCCTCTAATCCCAGCTCCTCTCTGACTCCTCACAAAATGTCTCCGTCACTGCCTGCCAGACCCGGCTCCAGCCTCCCAAGAGCAAGCTGTCACCTTGATGTCATTTGGAAAGGCTTTGAAAGGGGGATCTATCTTTATCCACGCCAGGAAGCGCCATGCGCGACTCTGGCGCTGTGCAAGTAATTAACAATAATGAAAAGTTGGGGTTGCCATGGATATGCTGTTCTATTTACAACGTGCATCTCTCCCCATTGCCCAGACCCACGCAGCAACCAAGGGAAATCAGAAGCCCATTCACTGCCACCGCGTGTGGTTTTATTTTTACCCGGGATGCTGTCACAGGAAGGCAGCCAGGCAGGACCCCAGGGCAGGAGCCACAGGCCGGCTCCTTGGGCTGATCCTTGGGAAGCAGCACATGGGGTTTCCCTGCTGCCCTGCCTCACCCAGACAAAAGCTCTCCAGAGAGCTGCAGCCAGTGAAAAGAAACCCTATAAAAGAGCTTTTCAGATACCTCTAACTGGTCATAACTTTGCTGTAAAAAAATAAAAAGGTGTGTGTGGGTGGGAGGAACAGCCCCCACATGGTGTTTTGGAGAATTTTGCTGCAAATGGGCTTGCATGTCAGTCCCTGCTTTGGGACCAGTTTAGGAGGGAAAAATAAATGTAAAAAGAGAAAGAAAACAAAGGGGAAATCATCAGTCTGGGGGTTGTTTTTTGGGTGGGCTACCGTGTGGGTCTTACATGCCCAGCTCTCTGGAATGCCAGCCCTGGTCAGGACACTGGGCTCTCTGTGAAGGATTGCAGTTAGCTTAATTAGAGACTCAGGTGAACATGAAAGATTAAATATGGAACAAAGCTGGGGACAGGTGGGAAGGCGGCCAGTCGGTGTTAGTGTGCCGATCTGGGTACCTGCAGAATTAATTACAGCAGGACTCGATGCGGGGAGGCTGTGGCTGCTCCATCCCAGCGCAGCCTTAGTCACCGCTAATAGCCGTCGCATGAGGCACGCGTGGTATGAATCTTCTCCGGGGCTGTGTTATCCGCCTGTCATTACCAGCATCGCTGCTGGGCTTGTTTGGGTCTCACAGCTGCCGTCACACGGGCCGCACACGCACTCGCCCCGCCGTGACTCAGCCCGGGGCGGAGGGCGCTGCCCGCGGGGCG